GAGAAACTAAGAAGCTATAAAGCCGATCTTCAGAAAATGAAGAAAGAGAAGGTTATTTATCATTTTCCTATCTGTTTTGCTTTTTCACAGAGTAAATTTACTAAGACTTCTCCTAGTCTTACAAAATTACATATGCTATTCTCCCATGATCCAAAGTTTGGAATTTTTCTTTTCGAAACATTTTGTTAGTATTATCTTTTTGACAGTTTTTTGATGCCTTGGACTTGTAATTGAGTTTGAAAGGTTGTTATTTTTATTGGAAGTTCAAAAGTTGGATTTGTCACCAGACTCTCCACCATTTTGCACACCTATTTCAGAAAAGAATTTTTTTCCTCCAGATTTTTAATTGTTAAAATTATTAGAAATTATTCTGAAATCTACTATGACAAGGGAGGCTAGTATAGTTTCTTAAAATTGGAGGTATGTAATTTATTTGTTTGTTATAATTTCCCATAATGCTTGATTTCACTATGAAAAGTAGAAACCCTCAATGTTCTAAACTTGCTTTGCAGCAGTTGGGCATCGGGTAGGGGCCTAGCGCCCAGGGGACTAGGCGTTTTATTTTATTTTGATTAAATTTATTATATAAAATAAATAAGTGTCTACTTATACTTTAAAAAAAATTACATATTTTATTAGGAAACTTAAATCATATAAAATGTCTTACGGATGCAGATACTTTTACAAGTTAGCCATGTCCTTGTCAGACACATTGCATGTTAGGACATCAACAAGTGTATCAATCCTGTATATCTCTTGAAATAATATAAATTGTGTCATAAAACTATGAAGCACTGGAACTTCTACAAGGTGGTCCTGTCCAAGGGCAGAACTAGAAATTTTTTACAGGGTGGGCTAACTTAAAGATTTATTGTTCTATTTTTTTGGTTTATTAAACGAAGAACTGATGAGTACAATTTTTTTTAAATGAAAACATGGACAATTGAAAGTTATAACATAAAACCAGACGTTGATTGACAAGTATGATACATACAGATATGTACAAACAGAGAAGTGAAACAAAAGAATCAAGAAAAAAAGCTAAAATCGATTGTTTTAAATTGTAACTATAATTTTTTACAAATAATAACAAAAAATGAACTTAATGAGCTAAATAAATAATGGCCTACATTTGAAAATAGATAGGTATATAGACAAACAATTTGGTTGTCCCACCAAAGCTACATGCCCTACAGCCTATGGTAGCCTGAATGTAGTTCTGCTTTGGTCCTATCGACGTCATTTTATTTTGTTTACACCTGAACGTATTTGTAGACTTGGTGTTTTTCTTCAAGAAACATCCCCAATGAGTTTATGATTTTTAAATTAAAGAGAGTGGGAAAGAGTTCACAAATCAGAATGTTATAACTTTAAATCATTAGTAAAAAGTAAAGTTCACATATTATAAAAAAAAAAGTAATTGTTTGTTGCTTTCAATTTATCACTGATCGTATTTGTTTTGCATCATAACTTATTTCCTGGGTCTGGTGTCCATGTCTGTGCTACAAGAGGTTATATGTGTTGTACAATTGGCTTAACATGCTTTATGCTAGCTAGTTTATCGGGTTAATTCATAACCTTTTTCAATTTTTGCACTCTGTTATCAGGAAGAAGAAGAGATGAAACGGCTGGAAGCTTTAAAGATACAGAGGCAAAAGAGGATTGCTGCTCGAGGTGGTACCATCCCTGCTATGTCACCATTGCCCTCACTGCAAACCAGGAAACAAGGGCCGACAAAACTATCTCCGAGTACTCACAAAGGATCAAAGTTTAGTGATTCAGAGCCAGGGTCATCATCTCCTTTGCAAAGGATGCCCAACAAAACTGGCGTTGTGGGCTCCGCAGATTCTCACAAAACCTCCAAATCCAGCAAACTGAGTACCGGAAACCACTCTGCTGGACACAGGTTAACCCAATCTGTATCTTCATTGCCTGAACAAAAGAAAGACATCGCTGGTGTTGCAAGTAATGCTAAGCCATCCATGGCACGGATTAGAAGATTATCAGAGCCTAAGGTAACTAACAGCCATCATGTTACTCCAGTGAAGCCGCGGAGTACTGTAACAGTATCAAAGCCAAAAGTTTCTGATGGGCCTGAGAGCAAGAAAATATCTGCTATCGTGAATTATGACAAAAGTAAGGCTGCTACTCTCCCAGAATTGAAAATCAGGACACCCAAGGGACCTGATGCTGCCCAGAGCACATCAACAACAAAAGGAACGACACAGAAAGATAATTCTGTGAAGTCTACTTCTGAAGGTGGTCAACTGAGGAGGAATGATGACAAAAATTCACACCGTAGTGATCAGGATGACAACCCAGGAATTGAGAAAACCGTTGTGATGCTTGAGAATCCCTCCATTCCTATAGTACATGCATATGAAGAAAAATTGGGGGATGTAAAAGGACAAAGTATTAGGGAGAAATCAGAGGATGTGTCAGAGTATGCTGCAATTCGGGCACCAGTTTCACCACTTACAACTGATACCATCAATAGGGAACCCACTCATGGCCTATTACAGCAGAAAATTCAATCTCATGAGGTATGGCTGGGCAGATAACCAAGGACTTTGCTTACAGTTTTCAATTGTTAACCTTTACTGACTACAATTGACAATGATGGGTGTGATTGATCTGAAAATATTACAGCTAAATTTCAATGTTTACAGTGTTGAATATTGCAATTTCAATAACTGTGTGTGACACAAGAGGAAGATTCATAGGTTTTACGTGGATGCATTGTATCAATCCTTGGTCATTGTTCCCAGCTAACAACAGTGCAGTTTATATGAGTCCTTACTATTACTACATGTGAAGTTCAAAAGGCTTTTTATTTTTATTGATTTTATGTTTCCTAGTCATAGCATCCGAATTTCATTTGCAATTTAATTGCTTTGGTTATTTTTTTGGGTGTTATGTAGGTTGTTAGGCTTTTCTCTTTGTCTGCCTATTATAAAAAGAATATATTTTTATATTTTGGTCATATCATTAATTTTGGATCAATTTCCAAGTGGTCCTTGAGCAAATGTTTATTGATGATCTAATATTTTTGTATAACCACTTTGATGGATAGGGCACCGTGAGTAATATGCAGAAGGAAGCAGCAAAGTCTCCAAGCAATAGCATCGTTGGAAAACCGTATCAAGCTCCTTATGTGCGAGTTTCTTCTCTGGAAGATCCATGTACTCAGAATTCTGAGTACGGAAAAGCACCCACAAACTTAGAGACAGTGGCAACAGGCACAGTGACCATAAAAGCGTTTGTATCTGAATCTAGTAACCTGGAAAAGATTCCAGAAGCAATTGAAAGGCCTCAGGCAAAGGAATCATCAAAAGGGATTAGACGGCTGTTAAAGTTTGGGAAAAAGAACCATGGCTCATCATCGGGAGAACGTAATGTTGAATCAGATTACGGCGGCATAAATGGTACTGAGGCAGCTGATAATGGGACAAACAATGTTTCTTCAAGTGAAGGTAACTTTGCATTATGCCTTTAAAACATATAAACAAAACATTTTGATGACTGATCAGTCATTATGCGTGGTAGACAGAATTTGAAGTGTGATTAACATTACGGAAAGAATAAAAGAATGTCTAATTCATGTGCCTCCGTTTTCTGATTGTCAAAAACTCACTCCGGATACTGTAGGGTTTTGATGCTCCCCTCTGACACGGCCAATGAGTGCCCAATGCATGTGTAATCTCATATTAGTGTCCAATGTGGCACATAGAGAACTAGTTCAGCTTTTCTTGTGCAGTTCCAGGAACTCTGCTTCCATTCAATACCAAGAGTCACAAGTGAAGAAAAAAAGAGTGAATGAAATGTTTTGCTGGTGTGACTTTTGGCTGGGAGTTCGCTTTGCTTTGTTTTGTGCGCTCTTGTGTTGCACGAGTTTTTGATTGCCGTCTCTCCTGTGTTTTTTGTTTGTCATCACTAAGTTTCTGTTCATTTACGAAGATTGCAAGTCACTGGTTTGTGAAAAAATGGAAATTTGTAATGTCAAAGGGGGGATTGTAGGTCAGTGGGAGGTTATTTATGGAGTTTGATCTCGAATACTACTTAAGCTGACTCATTGTTTTATGCTCCTTTCCAGTGTTTACATTAAAGAATCTGATCTCACAAGATGAAACCCCTAATTCCAGCTCTACACACAAGTGTAAGTGTTTACAATCTCTGCAACATGCGTTCCTTCGTTCATTCATTTTTCTTTTCTTTTCAATGTTTCACTAATTCCAGTTGCGACTTACAAGTTCTTTCATATGGTTACAGCTTCTCGCCATTTCTCCTTGTTATCACCATTCAAAAGTAAGACCAGCGAAAAGAAGCTGACAACGTAACGATGTGAATGCTTATGAAATTGAAGGTGAAGAAGCAACAAACCTTCTCTTATTTTGCCACCACTTGGCCGCAATCTCAGTCATCAAAGCTATACAAATTTTCCTCTCCTGTATGTTTAAAAGTAAAATCTTAGTTTTGTTGTTGTATAACTTGTCTTTGTACCCTCTTATTAGTTTGTTAGTGTTGCATGCGAATTCGTTTGCAGCTCTCCTCTGCGTAATTTGTAAACTCGACGATGATTGTTGTTGGACGGTTTGTTGTGAATGGGATTGATGTCTTGGGTTCTTGGATCTCACAGAGGAAAAATGAACAAAAATAGTGTTCCTACAATTGAAGTGTGGCTTATATTTTCTCTCCATTTTAAACCAAAAGAGTTGGAAAAATCCCAAATAGAATAGCTCCTTGATTTGTTACATTTTTTCTTTGTCACTCCTTAAACTGCTAGTCGTGTCTTTCTTCGGTACAAGCGATATTCTGACATTAATTTACACTAAGGGAAGGGAACGGCTGGAATTTGTGATGCAGCGGGTTGAGGAGAAGCGCCTTAACCGCCGGGGCAATCCATCACTTGCAAGTGTTAAGTCATGTATGTACTAGTAACATTAAAAAAAGTATCTTGCCTGACAAGTATCGTATATGTCAGATTGCTTTGTAAGAGAATGTCACCTATAAATCTTCACTCTTTGTTGCACAAATTGGTTTAGGAGAGCATTGCGCAACATTTAACTCGATGGGTTCACAATATTTCACCTTCAATCCTTTGTTTTTTTGGGGGTTTTTATCAATGGGGAAGGGAGAATTGAATTCAAACTCCGGGCGTCTTCTAGCAGAAGTTGGTTAATACTCACAGTTGCGAACCACCGAGGTCGGCAAAATCTCAGGTACAAACGTTGTAAACTACCCTCTATCTATCTTTCGTCACGAGGACATTAAAATGGCTACACAGTAGAATAACCTTCATTTGGGGTTTTCTCAGGCCCTATCAGGTTTGGAGTTGTTTGAATGAGATTCAAATCAAACCCAAAAAGTGTCTAATACAAGATGAACAAACGAGTGCTCAAGCAAATTGTGTCGCATGTTAATCAAATCTGATGACCAAGCAAGAAATGCAGCCCCTGCTCATCCTATTTGACGCTTCTTCCGCCAAACACTCGGAAGCCTTCTGTGGATTTTCGATGTGCCGGATGAGATTCACAGCCTCTTGATTCTTCATTACCTGGAACAGATTATAGTCTATGGATTAGTTACTCTCTAATAGGAATAAAGTTTGGTAGAATGCGTGTGGGATAATAAAATGTCAGTGCTACCTCCCATATGCCAGTGCTTGCCAAAATGACAAATTCAGTGTCGGGATCAACCCTTTCAACCCCAACAACAAGGTCTGTGCTTTTGGAACTCTTGGTGTTTGCTGCATTACCTGCAATCTCACACTAACATGTTTACTTTTCGTACACGATTGTCACATCATCTGCCGTATCAGTTGGTGAATAAATTTGGCGACTATAGGGTTATGGTGCACTGTACCTCTAAAGAACCTGTGTGACCAACTTTTTTTGGTTGATTGCTTGTTCCTGCTGCCTATCTGACGAGCCAAACCATCTTTACACACAACTGCTCTATAGTCTCCCATGTTAGCTAATACAAGCTTTTCCCCGTCGATCACCAGTGCAGAAACTGAACCGACTCCTTTCGTCTCCTCCGAGGCCTCTCTAACCTTCGATCTAGCACCAAGATAGGCTTTTCTCATTGTCTCCTTGCTCTTTCCCCTTATATGAGACTGCACATAGGAGGAAAACAAAAACAGAGACAATTGGGCAAAATTCAACAAATTCTTTTCTTTGTTATATGATGATAAATTCTCCTCTCCTATTGCGCACGCTCGAGCAGTTCTAAAGTTGGTGTACTCCAAAGAGAAAATAAGGCAAAACCCCGTTCGCATGAGCCGGAACTAGTTGACAATTATCTTAATGAAAATTTTATTGTGATTACTTTAATTTGTGCTTAATCAAAAGGAAGTGTTCCCTGCAAATATATGGTTTTACCTCTTTAGGCTTCTTATCAAACAAATGTGACTGCATGTACTTGGTAACTCCGTCGCCAACCCCGGCATCAAAAACTCCAAAAAACCACAGCTCAAGCTCTTCAATTTGCTCTCTTTGAGCCACAACAAAGTCCGAATCGGAATCACCATAAGTAGCCGGTGATGTGTTGCTCTCAATGGTGTGATATCCATGTGAGACTGCAGGCATCATCCACGACGGTTTCTTTGCCATGGTGGCTTCTTTCTTCTTCCTCCCCTCTCCACTTCTCATGAGGAAGCGTTTCAGCTGCAAAGCCGGAAACAACATTGTTGATAAAATTAAGAAAGAATTGCTAATAGTTAAGGACACATACATACATACATACATATATATATATATATATATATAGAGGGAGAGAGAGAGACAGAGAGAGAGAGAGAGAGACGATCTTTAGGGTAAACAATTAGTGATAATCACATATGTATGCAAAGAAACCATCGAAACTTAAACTAAAAACAAGCAAAAAGACAAAAAATCCAACGTTTTTCTTTTTCTTTCGAGCAATATTCTAACTTAATCTAAATTTTAAGGAGAGACTCAAAGTTGAGTACAGAGAAGAACACGTAAGATTTAAACAACTTGGCTACGTCCGGGTACGAAAATCAAACTTTGTTTATGGTAATTCCATGGGGATATAATAATAACAATTTCATTTTTTTTTTTCTTTGGTCATTTCCCATATTCCAAACACAATCGGCATATTCCATAATCTAGTACTACCATAATGGTTATCAGCCAAAACTCAAAAACCCAGAAATCAGAGTATTCAGATAGTCCAAGAAAATTAGAAAGGCTAAACACTTTTCAAGAAAATGAAACATATGTATAGGAGCGCTCAAACGCTAACCGGAAAACACACGTAGACTTACCCTTTGCTTGATATGAAAATCTTTAACGCCCATGAACCCCCCCTGAATACGATCAGAGGCCTTTCGGTGATTATCTGGCTAATGGAGAAGATAATCACCTTCAGGCCAACAAAAATTAAGAGCTAAACTTGGCAAATACGACGGTTTGAAAGTATTGTGTTGGTAATGTAATTACAGTTCGGAGGCTATTTAAAGTCGATGAGGAGTCAATGCTGGTTTTACATTCATCTAGAGACATCCTATTTTTAGGGTTAATCAATGTATTAAAGAGATAATTTATTAGCTTTAATCATCTCTTAATCTGTTAGCAAGAAATTTAAACTCTGTAACTCCCCATTTGTGGATATCATGGTTCTGGTCAAATTTTACGTGGATATCTTGTTTATGGTTAAAATTACATTGTTTTATTTCCTGACCCTTTTTACAGCACATGCGAGTCTCACATATAAATGTAGTTAGCAATTATAGTACAAATAGGCCCTTTAAAAGAGGAGATTGTAAGACCTATTCCATATCGAACTTTAATAATCTGAACCGTCTATTTTGTAGTTTCGGTTCATAGATCATATATGCAAAAATTCAATTCAATCCGAAACCATTTGCCCATTTAATTGTCATGATGAAATTTCAATGTTTCTTAGAATATAGTGAAAATCAATTTCTTTGAACTCAATTAGATGTTTCAAATATTTCCGATTTGGCTTATATTGCAAAGATGATCTATAAATGCAACTTGAAAAATATACGGTTCAAATCGTTGAAGTTTGATGTGGTGTGGACCTCACAACTAATCCCTATTTTTTTGAATTTGTTACAAAATATATATCATATTTGAATAAATGTGAGTCGAACTTATGATTTTTTTCACATCTAAAAGCCCAAATAAATGATTTTAGAAAAAAGACAGTAGCCTGACAACAAACTATAATTAAACAAACCTTAGAATGATCTATGAAATTTTCTTTATACAGCTTAGTTTTGTGATAAATTAGGCCAACTATCATTAAAAAAATATTTGGTAAAACTAACTATCATAATTTCAATTTGGTGACCCAGCTTTAATAAAAGTCTTTGAAGTTTCTTCCCTTTTTTAACTGAAATTAAAGACTAATTTTAGGCTTTATTGGCTCATGCCTTTTTAATTCCTTAGGATCTTTCTATTTTGGTTGGAAGCGACATCATGTTTATTTTATGTGACTTTGAGGCCATTAGATCCCAAAGAAGATGTCATGTTACTTCATAATACATGTGGTCTGCAAAATTATTCTACGTATTTCGTTGAATCTTCACCTTAAAATAATTTTCACAAATTTTAGTGAGGTTAATTCCAACTTTGAATCTATCCTTGATAACAAAATTGGAATCAAATTAAAGGTTTGAATTTTATAGTTTTGATTCTTTTACTAGTCCGAGTCGTGGGCGTGGACTATGCAGTATGGAATGGAACAAATGGTAGACTTACGAAGGACGGCAAGAAAATGGCCTTTCGGCTTTCATTATGCAATGATTCTTCTTCTCAAGTTGATGGAGCTGTCAGCCTGTCATTGTCCATTTAAGACCTTGACTAATGACCACCTTCTCTCACGTTGCAAAGTTTCTACGACGGAACGATGAAATGCAATTTTTCGTGAGTGATACGTAACATTGAAGTTACACTCGAGAAAATGATATAATCAAGGCAGATGGTTAATTGTTAGGAAAACTAATGAAAAGGGCTTGAAAACTTTGAGTTTTAATGATAAGGACAAAATAAAGGGTAAAGTGAATAGTACCAGGATTGACTTTTTAGTGTAAAAATGTGATTTTTCGTTAAAGTGAACAGTACCGAGTGCTTTTCGTTAAAGTTCCCTTAATTGTTAAGCGTACATTTGATGGTAAAATCGTTTTTTCTTTACATTTTTTGTGTTTTTTTTAATACAAGAGATAGTGGCGAGGGGCATTGAACTTAGGGTGTCAGATGTCATGGTGAATGCTCTTAAAGCGTCTCCAAAGGAAATGTCAAAATATTCAAATAAGCAATAACGATAAAATAAAATAAAAAGACAATACCAATGTTTTTCAATTGAAAAGCCAAATCTGATGTGGCATGATATGAAATGACATCTCTTCCCCTTGCTGCCAAATTTGACAGCAACTTCAAAATAATAATAATAATTATTATTATTATTAAGTAAATTTGGTTTTAATTCCGAAATTTCATTTTTTATGTTCTTTTTTTTTTCATGTAAATATGGGCTCTGGTGTGTTTCGGGTTTAGGCCCTATAAGGGTTGTGGTGTGGGATTTGGGGATTTGACCTTGTGGTGTTCCTTAATTAGAGTAATGTTTTTGTCCATTTAGGCCGTATTAAGCCTAGCACAATTATGGGCCATTTAAACGTATCTAGTTTCTCTTTAGGATTAAAGGTTTCACTAGTGGGCAAGTTTGTTTTCATCAAAGAGATAGTAGGTTGAAGGTCATGATATGTAAGCAAAGTGTATTGTTATTGAAAACAAATGTATTTCTTTTTTAATATTGCTTTTAATTTCATTTAGCAAAAGAGATTACATTCTTGTGTTTACATTTGAACTCAACTTTTTTGCAAGTTAAAATGCCACTAATTACAAGAGACTCTCACGGTTGCAAGGAGAATTCATGTCCAATCTGTTTTACGCAGACTAACCCACGACGCTGGACTAAACATTGGATTCATGTCCAATGATAACTTCACATACAGACGACCGAGCGATGCCGGAACTTAACCACAAGGTGCCTGCGCACCTAAAATACATACTGAGCGATGCCGGAACTTGAACCACAAGGTGCCTGCGCACTTAACATACAGACTACTGAGCAAGTCCGGAGCAAATGCAAAGACTATCGAGATGAATGCGAGCCAACACTATGCTTAAGCTCTCATACAGGCCAGGGCTTAACATTGCAATCGAGATGAATGCGAGCCAACACTATGCTTAAGCTCTCATACAGTCCAAGGCTTAACATTGCACATGAATGCCTTTTGTTGGCCGGAAGCTGAACTACGAAAACCAAACATGTAATGGTTGGGAAATTGCAACCGGGGACCCAAAAAATGGCTAACCGCTATTGGTCTCAAAACATATTTCAGACAATGAACAATAATAAGGGCGCAAAGACCACGCTCCAAAAGATAGCTAAAACATCGATTCCACATCACAATGACAAGACAAAGCAGAATGACAGAAAATTCATCCAATATAAGTTCTCCATTTGTCAACAATATTAGAAACAAAAATTGCTCTTAAAAACTAAATTCGATCCAAGATAAACAACGGGATTACAATCCAGAGTACACTGAAAATATTCCATAACAAAATTGTAAACCTCACGACTGAAATTGCTTAAGCTGTGGACTTTTTCAATTTTGCAAGCTCGCTCCTTACCAGTCCAGCCCTCTGCAAATCAGGGAAATATGTTATCTTGGGGCGGTTCAACGTGACAAGGACAAGAAAACAATAGCAACCATCTAAAGGATTAAAATAAATGATGTCATGATAAAGAGCATAACCAACCTTAATCTTAGCCAACATGAGCTTGAATCGGTCAAAGTCGTTGAGAGCTGCTCTTCTCTTCTGAACAATCAGTTTCCTACCCCATGAGCTGTTCTCCCACTTCTTCTTCACATCTACCAACACTCAAACAATTATCAAAAAGGAAGGCGGGGGAATGAAAACAAGACCACTGTTATTTATGAGTAATAAAACGTACCAGCAGCTTCCATTGCGGCAAGCAATTCCTTCTTCTTGGGGACCCTCTTGATATCAATCTTGATGTCGGTGAGAGAAAGCCTCTTGAAGTTCATTTGGGACCTCACCATATCAGGAGCATCGACAAGAGCCTAGAAAGACGCACCAAGCACAAGTACGACAATCAAAACCATGATAAGCACAGATGATGTCAATGTAGAAGAAATATATAAAGAGTGAAATTCTCTGAAAGACTACCAAACATACGAGGAGGGGGGCAAAAGTTCGGGATGGATCCCAACCTGACTCCAACTGAAGTTATTAAGAAAGTGACATTAACCCAATAAAAAACTTAGGAATAACTGGATCAGCAATCAGCATTTGAATTTTGAAATATGATTCCTCACCACTTTGCATGGTACACGCCGTCGACACGACAATAAACACCGAATTTCCTTCTAAGATGTAACTCCATTGAAGCAGATTTCAGTACAGATATATAAAGCAACAACTAAAGCAATAAAAATTCCGAAAAACCTAACCGCTTTCGAAATCACTGAAAATTGACACGCACAGGTCCTAACAGAAGCTTTGATTCAAAATTCATCATAACATGCTTCACAGGTATTAGGCATGTGTAACGCAAGGGAATAAAAACAAAGATTCCCAATACCCATTTTCATATAATTATTAAAATCAACATCATATAAAACAACAAATCAAGCATAAATCAAGACAAAAATACAGACAATTAAAAAAACGAATGGAATTCTAAATTATTTACAAAAAAATAAAAGTGAAATTTGGAGATAACCAAAAAAGGAAGGAGAATGGTACCCTGTTCTGGTCAAGGACGTCGACGATGACGACGAGCTTCCCGTAGTCCTCTCCGTAGTTGACCAGAGCCACCCTTCCGATCTCGACGTACCTCTTGAAAGGCTGTCCAAACAACAACAAAAACAAAACACAACAGAACAGGGTGAGATCAAACAAGAAGAACGGAACGAGGTCGTATTAAAAGAGTATACAGAGAAGCCAAACGCCATGGATGAGGAGAGAGAGCTCACCATTTTTGGTTCTGGTGAAGCGTGTGATGTGTGAGAGAGGTCCGAGGAGGCGGAGCTTTGAAGAGAAGAGAAAATGGTCGCGGTGGGATTAGGGTTTTGCTTATGGGTCTTTGTAGTGTGCTCCGGACCGTTCGATTGGGTTGGCTTTTGTTATCGGTGTTGCTACTAATGGGCTTTACATGAAGACAAAGAAAGGCCCAAATTTATAATTGGGTCATTGTATACACCCAAGTTTTATCTTTGGATGCTCTTTATTTCTCCAGGAATTCAATTTCCTTTTACACATTTATTTGGACACCCAAAACATGTAACCTTCTGTTTTACTTTTTATGAGGCTTGTTTATAAGAAAAGTGGAGGGGGACGAAAGGTTGTAGATATTTGAATAATCCTGAAATCTAA